ACCTCCCTCTCCCACCCCATCATTTCCACTGCCCTCCTCTCCTGGACATCTCACTCCTCCCCTCTGAATCCTTCCCACTGCAGGGAGCTGCTGAGGAGCCACATGGTCCATCCCTGGATTCTCCAAGCACTGACTGCCCATCCACGTTGACCACAGCCAGGGGCCACATCCCACTGCCTGCCCAGTGTCCATCCATGGAGGTGAGCACCGTGTCCCCTTTCTTCACCTCACCAAACGATGGACCTGGTCAGTGTGAGATCAATGTCTCCAGCGTGGCCATGCACTTTGTGACGCTGCTCATCGGCCTCTGTGGGCTGGCTGGGAACGGGGCTTTTCTCCGGCTCCTCCACATTAATGCCAACACCGACTTCGTCTTCAACCAGGCCATCACCGACTTCCTCTTCCTCATCATTATGGTCCCCTCCACCCTGCTCTTCCTTGTGGAGGAAGTGTCCTGCTCTGCTATAATGCCCCTGATGTATTTGAGTTTCCTTTTCTATCTCTCGCTCTTCTCTTACACCATGGGGCTGTACCGGTTGATGTTCATCAGCATTCAGAGGTGCAGGTCCATCCTATGCTTGTTTTTTTGTGGTTGCCAGCTTCCTGAGCGCTTGGTTTTGGTGGTGATGAGTGTCCTCTTCTGGGTCCTCCTGTTTGTTGTCACCGCTGTCAATCCCACAGTGACTTCCCAGTGCCAGTCACACGAGCAGGAGCAGTGCCGGGTGGCTCTCACGTCCATGTACGCCCTCAACCTCTTCCTATTTGTTGCACCCATGGTCATTTCCTGCACAATCCTCTTCATTCACTTCAAGCCTGGATCCCAGCAGCAGCAACACATGAGACTCGACATCGTTATCGTCCTTGTTGCACTCTTCAGTCTGCCCCTCAGTCTCTGGTCTCTCCTGCAGCAGCTCGGTTACACGGCTGTGCCCTCCCAGGTGGTTTTCCTGCTCACCTGCATCACCAGCAGCATCAAACCCTTCATCTACTTCTTGGTGGGGAGCTGGAAGAGAGCCTACTCCATGAGGAGCTGCTGGAGACTCTGCTCCATGCAGAGCTGCAGGAGGCACTCCTCCGTGCAGTCCCTAAGGAAGGCGATCCACAGGGTGTTTGAGGAGCCCACCACTGCCCGCAGCAATAAACCCACTGTGGACACAGAGGCCTCAGCCTGTTGATCCCTTCCACTGCACTGCTGAAGGACCCTGGGATGGTGGCTGAGAGATTCCTTGAGTCTCCTGATCAGTAAATACCCACAGTGTCCCCCTCCCTGTGCTGGGGCATCCCCAGCCCCTTTCCAGGCCGCTCTGGGCTCTGATCCGTGCTTGTGAGGCCTCAGCCTTGAGGAGCAGCCCCGGGGCCCAGCTCCTCTGGCACTGATCAGAAACACCCTCTGCTCCCAGCAACTGCTGTCCAACCACCTCCTGGGGCTTTATCAACAGCCTTGGGAATTATTGTGCTCCCCTGAATGCCACAGCATCCCTGCTCTCCCACTTTCACAGAGAGCTGCCGGCCCGAAGTGTGGCCAGGGTGAAACATGGCTGTGCCTGACGCCCATGCCTTGGGGCCCTGTGAGCAGCGGCCCAAAAGGAGACCCTTGGAGCTCTCCTGGGCCCAGCAGCGCTGAGCAGAAGCTGCCTGGGAGTGGGGCCTCTCCGAGCTGGGATCTCTCCCGTGTGCTGCCCTCGGCTGATCCCCGAACGCCGACGGCTCCTGGGCCGATCCCCCCGGTGCTCGAGGCCCAGCCCTTGGCCCAGTGAGGAGATGCAAAGGGATCCGCAGGGAGCCTTCCACTGCCTGCCAGGGGAATTTCTCACAGGGACCTTGCACTGCCTATTTCTGGCTGTGTGCACACATGTGTGCAGCTGCTGTGGCAGATGTGGCAGAATTGCTGCTCTCTCAGGTGTGTTAGTGCCTGAGACATCTGAGCGAGTCAGGCCTGGAAGGACGTCTCAGGCATAAAAAAGGTTAAATGCTGCTAAGTGATATTCCTCTGTTGAATTGCTAATATTAATGTATAACTGAAGTACTTCTCAGTTTGAGCGCTATAATGGTTTTGGGCCATTTTCCTTTTAATCCTTACCCTCACTGTCCTTTTGTCACCTGCCCTTGAACACACAGACACACACACACACAGGAACAGCACTTTGGTATGCTGTTGCTTAATATTAAACTTGGTTTTTACTGATATCCTTGCTGGTGGTTTTGTGCCTTCAGAAATTCTTCCTCTGCCCTGGCTTTGGCCTCTCCCTCAGCAGGCTCAGATGGTGCAGCTGCAAGGGGAGGGGGAGTCCATGGTCCTCAGCACTGCCACCCCCTTCCAGGAGCAGGGTGACATCTGTGTTTGTCACCGTTGTCTCCATGGGGCATCAACCCCCACCCTCTGGCTTTGCTGAGGTCTCTGAGCTTGGGATGTTCCGCCTGGAGAAGAGAAGGCTTCAGGGAGACCTTAGAGCCCCTTCCAGAGCTTTTAGAGGCTCCAAGAACTGGAGAGGCGCTTTGGACAAAGGCCTGGAGTGGCAGGACAAGGGGGAATGGCTTCCCATTGCCAGAGATCAGGGTTAGGTGGAATATTGGGAAGAAATTCTTCCCTGTGAGGGTGGAGAGGCCCTGGCACAGGTTTCCAGAGATGTTCTGGCTTCACCATCCCTGGAGGTGTTCCAGACCTGGCTGGATGGGGTTTGAAGCAATCTGACCTGGTGGAAGGTGTCCTTGCTTCCAAAGGCATGAGATCAGGAAAAAAACAACCACAAGTATTCCCAAGACTGAGGAGGAGGACGATGAGCTCTGGTGAAGGGTTGGAAGGGGCACCCCAGCACCCCAAAATCTGGTCTCCAATAACTTTTATTGCATCATCAAGGGTACTGGCAGTAAGAAATGTGGGCTCTGATGCTGATAACCTGGCTGTAAGCCTGTCGTGGTTTGGCTCTGGCCAAACACCAGGCACCCATGAAAGCCATTTGCTCACCTTCTCTTGCTCTCAGCTGGGCAGAGGAGAGGGAAACAAAAATTAACAAAGGGCTCATGAGTTGTGATGAGAACTGGGATAAAAAAGAGTCCAAGAATAGAAAAAAAACAGGTTCAAATGTAATGGTATTAAGTAAATTTATTAGCAGATTCAGAGGATGATAATGAGAAGTAAAATAAACCTTAAAACACCTTTCTTTCCCTCAGCCCCTCCCTCCTTCCCACCGACAGTGGAGGGAGACAGGGCATTGCCAGCATTGCCAGTACTGCCAGTACTGCCAATTAAACATTGTTTATCTGGAAAAAACCCAGGTCATACATTAAACTAAGATAGACGACATATTCTGGTAATAATTAAAACAAACAAAACATCTATACCATGATTAATTAAATGGGCAGCACAAAAAATCTTGGATACTATAGCGTATAAAAATGCCTTTAAAAGTGTTGTTTCTTTGAACATATCTATGGCAAATAAATTTCCAATATGTTCACAATTTGGACTCCAAATTTTTATTAGTCTAACACGCTTTTGCTGTTAAAATTCTTGGTTTCAGAGGGGACACAGCCATGGCTTGTGCTCCCGGGAGCAACCATGGTCCCCAGTGCCCAGAGCTGGGCTGGCACAGACACAATGGCCCAGGGACTCAGCATTCCCCACCCCAAGTGCTCCGTGAGTGTCACAGCAGGGATTTCCCCAGAGATATTTAATTGTTAATTTTGTGAGCCAAGTGCCAAGATCTCTCTGCCTTCAGAAATTCTTCCTCTCCACGGCCTTCAGCTGCTCCCTCAGCTCCGATGGTGCAGCAGCAAGGAGAGGAGGAGGTCGTGGTCCTCAGCACTGCCACCCCCTTCCAGGAGCAGGGTGACACCTGTGTTTGTCACCATGGGCTCTGCAGGGCATCACCCACCTCGCTGGGGCTTTGCTGAGGTCACCAGCCCCACCACATCCCACACCTTCTCTCCACCCCCACTACATCCCACACCTTCCCACCACATCTCCCCACCAGCTCCATCGTGTCCCACACCTCCCACACCAACCTCCCATCCCACTCCCCATGCAGCCCACCCATTCCTGTCCTTCCCATCCCTCCCAGCCCCATCCCTGAGGCTCCAGTCCCTCCCCAGGGGCTGCTCACCCCAGGCTGCCCTGTAAGGCTTTGGGACAGTGCTTCTCTTGGATTTGCTCCTCCCAGCTTCATCCCTGGTGTCCAGCCCCCCAAACTCCTTTGGAGAGAAACAAGAGGCAGTAGAGGGATGGCTCCACCGGTGTTATTGGGGCAGAGAAGCATGGAATTGCCAGGAGGAGTGGAAGCACTGCTGGGGATCCCATGTGGGGCAGGAGAGGAGCAGGGATGTCTGGAGGGGAAGGCAGCCTGGGGGGAATTTCTAGAGGATGCCAGAGGGGGGCATGATGCCTTAGGATTTTAGCCTTTCTATTTTTCAAATCCTGTACTGCATTAGCGCATAACTCTAAACTCCATGTAAAGTGTTAGTTAACTGTCTTCACCTTTTGGTCAGACAAACCAATCCCTCTATGCCAGAAATTCAAGGACAGTCTGCTGACTGAGGCTGGAAAGTCAAGACAAAAGTGAATTGGGGGAGGGCAAATGGGGTGTAAATGACTTCATTACCTGCAGCTGTAATTGGAGGATTAACCCCTGGTTTGTAAATGGGCCAAACTTATATCTGCCTGAAAAACTCGTGACCATTGTCCATTTTGGGTGTAGCCCCTCTCGGAGACTTTGACTGCCCAAGGTGAACCTTTTGAAGGCCTTTCAGAAATGCCTGCTTTTATTCTCTTCCCCTTATCTAGCCTCTGTTCCTGGGAGCCACCCCAAGGCATCAGGCAGACAGGGGCTGGAGGGGGCAGGAGGGCTCTGGTGCCACCAATCCCAAATCTCCCGCTGGACAGCAGCAGAGCCCAACAGGCCACACGTGCAGCCAGGGAGTGGCCTCTGACTGGGAAACCGTTGGGATGGGATGGGATGGGATGGGATGGGATGGGATGGGATGGGATGGGATGGGATGGGATAGGATGGGATGGGATGGATGAGGACTGATACCAAAATCAGACAGAATAAAGTTCCAACACCCACTAATGGTGTTACCAAGGGAAGTATTAGGCAGCAGGACACACAGAAGGATCTCTCCTTATTTCTGTGTGTGTTGCGAGACTTTACAACAGTGTTTTTATCCACTATGACCATACATATACTTTAAAAAGTTTTTCTTATCAAGTACATAAACACTATTTTCCTATAACTCATTTCCATTCATCCTCTTCCTACTGGAAGTCCTTTGATGGCCCTGCAGTTTGATGGCCCCTTGAGAGGGGTCCCTGGTGATCATATTCATTGAGTGCTCTGGTTAAAGGTGACCTTGCCTTGAACTTTTCCTTTGGCGATGTGCTCTTACTTCTTGTTACAGAACTTGTCCCAAACCACCTTGTCAGTTTCTCCACTGGCTCCAGGCACGTTTATCATCCTTTTTGTTCCTGCAGAGCTTATTTGAGCTGGGCTTTCCTCCTCTCTCCTGAATCCTAGAACTCTACAGTCAGGAGGAGCCAAGAGACTGCCAGCGTCCCAGGTGGAGCCGGGCAGGATCATGATATTGAGGGGGAAAAGGGGGCTCCGAGAGGATCTGGGGTGTTGGAGGTGGTTTCGGAGGGGTCAGGAGAGGGTCAGAGGGGGTTGGAGGGATTCTTGATGCTGGCAGTCCCAGAGGGAAGCAGAACCTGACAGGCCATGCTCAGAGTGGGGGAGTGGCTGCTGTCTGGGAAAGCTGTGGGATGTTAGAGGATGGGGTGAGGATGGAGAGAAGGGTTGGGATAGGAAGCAAAGATGAGCATTGGATGGGGATATTATTGGGAGCAGCTCATCTCTGCTTCCTTGGGCCCAAGTCATGTTTTGGCAATGATCCGGGCGCGCTATTCCCAGATTGGGAATTACTTCTGAGAAGCACCCAGCTGACTCACCAGCACTGCCAGTACTGCCAGCATGCCAGTGCCACCAGCACCTCCAGCATCCCTCTGCTGCTGGAGGGATCATGACCTCTCAAGGGAGAGAAACAAGGAATGGTAGAAACCTGTTGGGAGAGGGAAGAAAGTCAGAGAATGGACCTTCTCCAGGGAAGTACTGTTTCTTATCAGGAGGAAGTGCGGAGCCATTCACAAAGTCCACTTGATGTGTGGCAAAAAATAAAAGAAAAATCAAGATCAATAAACCTAAGGCTGTGGAACTCTGACGTAGCCAAAGTTGTAAAACCATTTCCGACTGCCCTGTGACCCAACTGAGTCTTGGGGAGTAACAAAAGGACAGGGCACACAGAGGAACCAGAGGGACAGGACAGGGGGAACCTCTTGGTGATCTGGGAACATTCTTCTGCATGATACTGACCTGGCAGGAGCCGCTTTGGGATAAGGATTCCAAAATAGCAAGAGGTACCAGGAAGCGCCGCTGATCTGCACAGACCCCTTTGCCTGCTGCTGCCCCACAGGGAACAGGTCAGTGGAATGGTTTCCTTCCTCCCTACCCCACCTTCCTCTCCTGCAGCAGCTGCTCTGTTCCTGCCACCCTCTCCCGGTGACCCCAGTGCCCTCCCCAGGTCATCCCTCCTCTGACCTGCACTTCCCTTCCATATCCCCTGCCAAACAGCCCAACCCTCCCACCTCCCTCTCCCGCCCTACAATTTCCACCACCCTCCTCCCCTGCACATCTCACTCCTCCCCACTCAATCCTTCCCACTGCAGGGAGCTGCTGAGGAGCCACATGGTCCATCCCTGGATTCTCCAAGCACTGACTGCCCATCCACTCTGACCACAGCCAGGGGCCACATCCCACTGCCTGCCCAGTGTCCATCCATGGAGGTGAGCACTGTGTCCTCCCCTGCCATCTCATCCACTGAAGGAGATGATCTGTGTGAGACAGATGTCACCAGTGTGGCCACACACAGTGTGACACTGCTCATCTGCCTCTCTGGGCTGGCTGGGAACGGGGCTGTCATCGGGTCCTCAGGTTCTGCACCCAGAGGGACACCATGAAACCCATCACTGCCTACATCCTTGACCTGGCCATCATCAACTTCCTCTTCCTCATCCTGATGGTCTCCTCCACTCTGCTCTTCCTGCTGGAGGATTTGTCCTGTTCTGCCATCATGTCCCCAGCATACATAAGCTTCCTTTTCCTCCTCTTTGTGATGTTCTACAGCGTAGGGCTGTACCGGCTGACAGCCATCAGCGTTGAGAGGTGCAGGTCCCTGCTCTGCCCACGTGGGCTCTTCTGCCACCTTCCCCAGGACCTGTCATGGGTGGTGGTGAGTGCCGGGCTCTGGGCCCTTTCCATCACTGTCATTGCTGCCATTTCTGCAGTGACTTCCCTGTGCGAGTCACAGGAACACAAGCTCTGCTGGGGCACTCTCATCTCCCTGTACATCCTCAACTTCCTCGTCTTTGCTCCATCCGTGGTCATTTCCAGCACAATCCTCTTCATTCATTTCAAGGGAAGCTCCCAGCAGCAGCGATCCAAGAATCTTGACATCATTGTCTTCCTCGCTGTGCTTTTCACTCTCCCCCTCAGTCTCTGGAAATTCCTGCAGCAGCAGCTCGGCTACACCGCTGTGTCCCCCCAGGTTGTTCTCCTGTTTGCCTGCATGCACAGCAGCATCAACCCCTTCATCTACTTCTCAGTAACAAAGTGCTGGAGGCGCTGCTCCATGGAGTCCCTCAGGGAGTGCCTGCAGGAGGTCTGTGAGGAGCCAGAAGGAAGCATTGCCCCCAGTAATGATGCCAACAGGGACTCAGTGATCTGAGCCTTTTGAGCCCTTCAACTGCCCCGATGCAGGACCATGGGGCAGTGACTCAGGATCACCCTCCCACCTTTATTCCTGCAGGAGAAGGGAGCAGGGGCAGTGACAAGGGCCGTGTGGGGGAGTGCTCTGCACTGAGCACATTGGAGCAGGGTTTTGCTCCTCCCTCATGGGTCCTAGAGCACTGTTCCCCAAACGGATCCTTTCCAATATGGCTGTGATCCCAGAATTCCCCCTGGCACCTGGTTCCTGCATTCCACTGGGGTGTGACATCAATAAACAGCACCGTGAACCCTGAGCTGCTTTCGCCCCCTCTGCCAGTGCCTCCCAGCTTCCTCTGCCTCCTGCTGCCAGCCGGGAATGTGGCTGGAGGGAGGGGACAGAGTGTTAGTTAGCCAAAGGAATTTTGTGATTGTTTAGAAATTTCATAATGAACTATGTTTAATTAGTCAAGGCATATTTGCCTGTGGTTTTTTAGCTGGTTTTGATTTAGATCCGTGTTGGCTGAGTGTCAGTAGAAAACTCTATCGACCCATACCCCTTAGAGAACTTAATCAATAGTTGGAGAATAAAATTCAATAAAGTATTCTTAATGCTTTTCATATAACTAGAAATCAATTGGAGGTCATAGAATAAGAATGATATCTTGAGAGAATTAGGAATTCAGAGGCCTATACACACCAGAAGACTTGAATGATGAATTGCAAGTGATAAATTGTAATGGCAATAAGAGAGCCATTTCCTAGGCTTGTACATCTCAGAAAACGTAATCAGTGGTAACTGTCTAACCAAGACATCAAATCTAATCAAACATTGTTTAGCTGGAAAAAAACTGGGTTATGCATTAAACTAAGAGACACGATATATTCTGGTAGTAATATAAAAAAAACAAAACACCTATACCTTGATGTAATAAACTGAGAGCATTTTTGGGTGCATCTATTAAAAAATCTTGGATTTTGTAGTGTGAAATTGACCAGATAATACTGGCTTTCGCATTTATGTATTAGCCTATGCATGTTGTTATTGATGATAACTATTTAGAAATTGTATCAATTATAACTCTTTTTAGCTGCATGTTTGTCTAATATAATCTATCAGTTTAAGTATGCACTGTATTGCTCACTGAAATAGTAGTGTAATGAATATAATAGCTATGTATCAATTGTGGAAATAATAGTGTGATTAATGTACTGTGTTATAGATCTCAGCAAAACATAAGATGTGAAAAAAGCTTTTGTGTAACTAAAAACAGTGTAAGGCCATCCACTGACCAACTTGTCCAAGTGATAACCATGACACAAACCAGAGCACTGGAGGACAATTAGAGAACACCATGTTAAATTTAAGGAGGGCATACTCAAATCTCATCAGAGGATGTGAAACAGCAGCATGGAGACACCAGAAGAAATAAAACACATTGACCTGACACCCAGGATGTCATGCAGATAAGCCGGAGTGTGAAAAGGAGTTCCAAAAGCATCAGAAAGTTAGCAAGAATGTTTGAATCATGCATAAAATACATGACTATGCATGCATCTCAGCAATGTAACGGTATAAAAATAACATTGTCTGTATACGCACCACCACTCCCCCTCTCCATGTTCTTTGATTGTTGGCCAGGAGCAACCCAGCGCTGGAAATATGGTCCTTTTTTATCCTATTACTATTATTATTATTATTATTAAACATTTAAAAACTTTAAGCAGTGAATTCTGTTTTTCTCAATAGTGTATAAAAATGGTTGAAAATTGTTGTTTCTTTGAACCTGTCTATCTCAGGATCTCCTCTGGTCTGGTCTACTTGGAAGATCCCGAGGTGTGTCTCTGTTAAAAGTCTCTCTTCCCCAACCCAGCAGCCGAAGAAGGAGTCGAGAAGTCTTTGGTTCACGTTCCCAAGGTTGTTTATTATTTCTTTATCTAAAACATTTTCTGTCTGGCCTGCCAAGGTCTGTTCTGCAGGTCGGTCTGAGGCACACTCCCCACCTCTTGGGCTGGTGCTGTCTTTTATACTAAAAACTATGTATACTATGTTTACAATAATGTTCCAATACCTATCACCTGTGTTAGACAGTGACTTTCTACTCTAAACCAATCTGTGAATGCCAACATCATCCTGAACATGGATGCCAGGGAGAAGAAAGAAGAAGGACAGGGCACGCCCAAATCCCTCCATATTAGAACCCCTGACCCCCATGTACAGAATTCCAAGCCCCCCCTGTACCATGTACCAAAATTTTTCCCTTCACCCTGTGATTTCTACTACTAGGCTACTTAAACTTCTGTGACCTGTAATTCTTCATATAAATCTGGTAATTTGCTCCATGGGTTGAGATAGAATTCCCAGGTGTTTTTGGTTCCCTGCCAGGGTCTCCGAACCCCTGCCAAACATCCAGAGAGATGTCCTGGGATCCAACATGTCTATGTCAAGCAAATTTCCAATATGTTCACAAATTTGACTCAAAATTGTTATTAGTCTAACACGCTTTTGTGCTTGGACTTAAACGTCTTGGTTTCAGAGGGGACACAGCCATGGCTTGTGCTCCCGGGAGCAACCATGGTCCCCAGTGCCCAGAGCTGGGCTGGCACAGACACGATGGCCCAGGGACTCAGCATTCCCCACCCCACCAACTGTAAAGTGAATGTCACAGAAGAGATCTCCCCAGAGATATTTAATTTTTAATTTTGTGAGCCAGGTGCTGTCATATTGCATTTTGTTGAAATGGTATGCCGTGTCTCACCCCTCCGAAATGTATGGTATATTCTAAGCCTGTGGTCCTGCCCTGAGCCATCATGTACCTGTAATCCCATTGGCCCAAGTGTGATTCCGCACCCACTTCAATTCCCCTCTTAAACTGTGCTATGAATTCAGTCTGTCCCCCTCCTTCCCCCTCCTTCCCCCTTCCCCCTCAGTAGCCATGCTGTTCCCGGGGATGGGACCCCCAATAAACCTTCATCTAATCAGCACCCTCAGAAACCGTGTGGAGTCTCCTTGCCAGCCCGCTGCTGCCAGCCAGCTCACAGCCTAGGGCGTCCTCCGGGGCCACTCCGGGGTGCCCCCCATCCCAAAACAAACTGCAACAAGGTGCAAAGATCTCTCTGCCATCAGAAATTCTTCCTCTCCACGGCCTT